TAACACTGGCACACGCTAAGGGGACGGGCGCTATCGGCGCACAATCCTGAACACGGGTGCTCACGTGTCCCCCCCACGCTGACCGTCCGTGCATGCTTAGCTGGACGAGCTCCTGCCAGCAGTTGAGCCCGCGCTGCGTGCCCTGTCCTGCATCCGCAGCACACGGAGCTCAGCAGGCTCGGACGTCGGGCTGGGGCCCACCGGCTCTCACTTCTCAGCCCCCGGTCCCTCCAGTGGGCCCCGCGTCTGCGCACAGGAGTGACTGCAGAGCCCATCTTCGGGTGGTGCTCACTCTCTGAGTCCGTAGAGGACCGGAGTGTCATCACCCAGGTTAGGAGTAAGAAGAGGTATCTCGAGTTTCCCATTTCATGTTGTCCTTTCTCGGTCGAGGCTACATGGTTTTCTAATTGAAAGTGGACTTCCTCCCAGGAGGCTGTGATCAGAAATAGCCAGCTATATTTCTCACAACATTGTTGTTTGTTTCTATGTCAGGAAAGTGGAGAATGAGGACATGAATAAGGATCAGATCTTGCTGGAAAAGGAGGCAGAGGTGCGTAAAGAAGGACTGCTCCCTTAACCAGGACTGCTCAGGGTACATCCAGAATGTGACTTGCCATTAACTTGTTATCGTCTTCCTGCCTTACCCCTCGGAGGAGGGTGAATTACAACGAACTTCTTACGTGTGTGTGTCTGCAGTGACGTGCATGTATATGTGCCTAAGTATCTATAATGTTTTTTCTTTTCATTTGTAGTAGCAAGTTAGGTAAAAAAGACTTGAAAACATTTTAGTAACCTGACAGATTTTTGTAGAATGTTAAAAATCATTTTCCCCTTGCAGACAATAACCGAAAGGAAAATATAATGAAATTGACATTGCAACTCTTTAAAAAATTCAAGGAAAAAAGTAGATCAGATTATGGAGGACGTTAGAAGACTTGACTGAAAGTATCCTTGGCCACTTCCATAGCCCAGTAGTTAAGGGACCCGGGTCCCACAGACCTGAGTGTGGCCCTGGCCTGGCCCAGCAGCCTGAAGAACACGTGGGGAGTGAGTGCCTACTTGCACGCCCCAGTCCCAAAAGGGGGAAGAAACGGAGGGTTGGACTGTGGTGTGGCCACTCCCCGTGGGGGTGCATCCCCTCTGGCAAAAGAGCAAAACTTGGTGAGGACAAAAGTGGGTCAGCAGGCACTGTTTCATAACTAGCCCTCATTACTCTACTGAAAAAGCTGAGTCCCTCCCACGGATGTAAGTTGCTGTTTCTGGCTCTTAGGTTAAAAAATACTGTCTTGTGTGTTTATTTGAAGTGCATATTCTTATCATTGTCTTGGTTTTCTACCAAGTTGTCAGTCCTTCTGTTGACTTGTAATCCCCCGTGTGAACTGTGGGTCGCATTTCGGAAAAGCACAGACAGCAGCACCGTAGGACTCACAGAGCGCCCTGTGGTAGGTGAGGCCATGGTCACACACCCAGGTGTGTCTAACCAGCGCTCTGCTCACAGCTCCGCCGCATGCAGGAGATGATCGCCAGGATGCAGGCGCAGATGCAGCTGCAGGCGCAGGCGGGGGACGGCGACAGCGGGGTCCATGGACACCACGTGTAGGTGAGTGCAGCGTGGGCCCCGGGTCTGGCAGAGCTCACGGCCGTCTCAGCCTGGATTGCTGGCCCTGCCACATGGCCTCAGGTCCCTGAATGAGCACATCCCCGTGCCTGCCATCTGGCAGGGCCTGCTCACGTTCTCTGTTCTCTGCGTGTAAAACACAGTTGGAGTGGGACGGAGCTCTGTAGGAGGATGCTTTTATCAAGCAGATAGCCTAGTGGTTACATCGCTGGACTCCCACGTAGTCAACCATGGCTTGAGTCCCAGAACTGGCAACATTTTTTTTCTTAAGAATGATTTTATTTTGGTACCAGCAGTTAGTGTAATGGCTATGTCACTGGACTTCCATGTAGTTGACCGCAGTTCAAGTCCCAGACCTGGTGGCTTAAACTCATTCTGGGTGCGTGTGCATGCGTGCCCAAGATCCCGAGAGGAGAATGGAGGAGAAGGGATTGCGGCGTGGCCATCCCCTCTGGGGGGTGATTTCTCGCT